AAGTCCTCCCCCTCCAACATGTATCGATAAGGAGATCACCAAAAATGATTACTAACCAGCTGATTTTTTTTCTATTACTTAGTTAATATATATATAATTTAACAGCCATATTGTCCTACAAATTTCGTGGTATGTTATCCCGGTCCTACGGTCAAAAGTAGTAGTACAGATCCTTGATGTAAAAATAGCGTGGTACGCTATTGCGGTGCTCCAATTGAATATATATTGGAAAGTCATGAAATTAAAAATCAATTTATATTTCTTATTATATTAATATATTTATTATTTCTCAAGCGTGCGAAAAAAAATGTTGACTTTTTGGTAGATTTCACTCAACAATAATATTATTTTATAAGTTAAAAAATTACTGAACGTCTAATTTTAAACTAATTTTTAAACTAATTTTATAAGTTAAAAAATTACTGAACGTCAACTGAAATTAAACAAAACAATAACAAAGAAACCTTTGTGCCGCTTGTGTTTCTGTATTTTTCTACAACAGCTGAGTCACACCGTGACGCGTGCGCAGAGCATTTTTACTCCGTCGTAGTAGGTATCCCACGTTTGTGTCGAGTATAAGCGTGTTAGTAAGCATTTTTCAGTTAATTTTTCATAATTATGGAGTGTTTCTTGTGTAATTTGCTTTGTGAAAATCCTACTTTCCGAGAGAAAAGAGAAGACCCCCAAATCTGTAGTTATTAATGAATTACTAGAATATCAAACTGAAATACTAAATCCTCCAGAAGCAGACATTCACTTAGTAGATGGATTTTATTTATTACATACGTTGAAGAACCTTCCAAACAAATATGGTAAAATCTCGATGCATATATTAAAAATACTTATATATAATAGAAAAGAAGTACATATTATATTTGACAAATACAAAAAACCCAGTATTAAAGATTTTGAACATGATTTGAGAGGTGAAGAGGACACACAGTATGACGTAATACGTAAAGACTCTAATCGTCCTGCAGATTTCTGCAAATTATTGAGGAGCAACAACTTTAAAGAAAAATTTGTAGAATTTTTAATTGAAGATTGGACAAGGGACGAATTTATTACATTGATCACAGGAAAAAACTGTTAAACTTAACTATGATCAATGTTACACTTATGAGGTGTCTAGTGAAAATAAAATCAAAAGAGTCATTGACTATAACCTCTCGTGTTATCATGAAGAAGCTGATACCAAAATTGCATACCACATTTGTCAATTTAATACTAATTATCGTGTCCAGATACATTGTACGGATTCTGATATACCAATAATAATGCTGGCAAATTTTAAGTATTTAAAAGATGAAATTCAAATAATAATTAATTTAAGCACGAGTAAAAAAAAAAATGTACTTAAACATAAATGAAATTTATGAAAAACTTGGGGATCAATTATCTTGTTCACTCGCTATATGCCATATTTTTACAGGAAATGATTATAATCCCGCTTTCTTTCGTAAAGGAAAAAAGAGACCTTTTAGTATTTTAAAGAAAAATAAAAAATTTCAAGAGGCTTTTATTCAACTCCTACGGATTGAAAATACAGCATTAACAACATCGAATGAAGTATTTCAAATTATTGAAGAGTATGTATGCAGAGTGTATACATTAAAAACAAAAAATGATATCAACAAAGGACGGTACGAGTTATTTGAAAAAGGATATAAATCAAAAAATGAAAATGAAGAAATTTTAAAACAAAAAATCGTAGGATATGATCCTTCCAGTTTGCCACCAACAAAAGAAGAATTGTTACAACAAATTAAAAGAACTGCATTTATCTGCAATGTATGGTGTAACGCACATATGCGGTGCCCCACGGAAAAATTGCCGGAAAATTTTGGATGGACAATAATTGATGGCAAATATGAATATTATTGGTTTGATGGTCCCCAAAGTCCATCTTTTGAAGAATTATCTTCTGAAGAACAAGGTACCCTATTTATACTATTGTTATTTATTGATTGATTATTCATTATTATATAATTTACTAAATTTTTTCATGTTATTACAGAGTCAGATATCACGAGTGAGGAAAGTGAAATAAATGAAGATGATAGCGATGTTAGTAGCGAAGATTATGAAGATTCATCAGATGAATATGATGAAGATTAATTTTTTTTTATCTATAAATACACCAATACACCAATTTTTGTACCTAATTTTCCTAAAAAATAAACTTATTTAAATTTTAAAAAAGATTTTTTCACTGTATCTTATGTTAGAAATAGGAAAACGAAAAAATTACAATTCTTGTCGGACTAGTGATACATACCTGTTTTTTTGTAGGACATTGTTTTATTTGGGCACTGAACACACTAACCTATTATGTAATATTTTTGTCCTACAGTTAGTAATGAGAAAAATGGTTTTATGGTATTAACAATTTCTGAGCGTAGGACCGGGATAACATACCACGAAATTTGTAGGACAATATGGCTGTTAAATTATATATATATTAACTAAGTAATAAAAAAAAAAATCAGCTGGTTAGTAATCATTTTTGGTGATCTCGTTATCAATACATGTTGGAGGGGGAGGACTCTTTGATGAAACCATAGATTTTGTAGGACAAATATTTTTTCAAATAATTTAGATAATTATCTTAAGATTTAATAAAAACAATTCAGTTAGTAATAAATATTGAAGAATCATCAAATCGACATATTTTATCATTGCTACCTCTGTTAGCTACCACAATCAAAAATTTTCGCACAGGAAATTGTTGGGCGTCTTATCAAAATGAAGCTACTCACGGAAAATTAGCTTGATAGTAATCAAGTGAAAAAATAGGCCACGGATCCTGTACTAGTATACATTGGTAAAGTGAACGTAAATTCACATATTTTATACGTGATACCATAAACCATTATATGAATGAAATATTAAAAACTATACATTTTTAGTTCAGACGCAAAACCCGTAGCAAAAACACTAGCATACATCTGTACTACGTACTTCTAACAAACTTGATACATACAACCCACAATTTATTTAAACAAACAAATTCATTTTTATTACTATCTTTACAACAACTGAAAATTTATTAACAATAAAACTTACTAATTTCCTAGATATAAAACTCCAAATATTGTATATCAAAGTGGCGTTACATTCGGTAGGCGTCATTATGAAAAACACTGAACAAAAATCTCGTTATCGCATTGTATCAGCAATTAGTATACCTACATTAATTGGCTTCCATTGAATCTTTATAAATTACGTATAATCACAGTCAATATCGTCTTGCTTTCGCGGTACTAGCCGCTTATTCATATATAAAAAGTTTATTATTTAGTTACAACAGTACATCTGTATGCTACGATGCACATCGGATTTGAATTTCGAATACAAAAAAAAAACTAAATCAGCCAGCGTCGATTTTAAAATATATTTTTTATTTCCTGGTACAGTAAAATTTTATATGACGTAAGCAAAAACCGCGGGAAAATTGTTAAAAAAATGGAGTATTGCTTTGAAATATTTTATAAATATGTCGATCATACAACATAAATTTTAAAATATTATGTATAATTCGACATAACTTTTACCAATAACACAGATAAAGCAACGGTATCATGAATGATAGCTTATCATTTGATAAACCTGTAATTTGCGTCTACGTATTTCTAATATACGATTTATTCTTGATTACCATAAATACTAACCGCCATTTTGTATTATACATTTCATAGAAAAGGCAAAATACTGATAACAGATTCTTATATAAATTAGAAAATGTTTCTTCTATCAATAAATTAATTAAGTAATGGTTTAAGATCAAATTATAATTAGTTTAAAATATAGTAATTTTTAAAAAAAGTGTTATAATGATCTATATATATATTTAATGTACCTATATTCTATTGACTCAAAATTTAAGTTCTTTACTTACTTAATTGCATTACATTAAGTTCCTTTTATGTTATCATTAAAATGATTTTCATATATAGGTATTTTTTAATATATCAAAACCTATTGGATATAATGTAGCCTTATTCTGCCAACAACATGGATACTTCATAAATATTATCTGTTTTCAAACATATTTTGTACCGAGTCATATATGGTTGTAAAAATATTTATACAGTCACGCCTAAGTTTCGCTTTAACTGGCAATAAAAGAATATTTTATATTTGCTATGTGCAATATGTTGTATGAACAAAAGACAATTTTTACATTTATTAAAAGTTAAACTATCAATCGGCATAACTGTCGATACCCGATTCAAAATGGCCGGCCTATTATGGACGCCGAAATTGTCGATTGTATTCTATATATATTATAATAATTAATTTATATGTACAATGGCGAACGTTACGAAAACGATTGCGAGGTGAAATTTAAATTTAAACATGTTACAAAATCGACCCCCGCCCACTGCTAGATTTTAGTTTATCACACACACAGTTTATTTATATGACAAACACAAACGCGTGTGGGATTGACGAAGAGAATAGAATTCCTATAATACTTAGGTTTTTTATAGAATCCAACGTATTGTTTTAATTGATGTGAAAAAAAATCACAATGAAACATGCTCGTGTTCTTGTTGATACTAAACAGAACACAATTCTTTAAAACTTTAATGAATTATGTAATTCATATTGAGTTCAAACCAATTCTAAAATGACTATGTATTATTCATATATGTATATTAACACAGGAATTAGGGTACGTCATCAGCCTATCAGAGCCCATTGCTGAGCAAAGGACTCTTCTCACATGGAGAAGGTTTGAGCATTAATCACCACACTTGCTCAAGACGAGTTAGTGATTTCAAACTTATAATTAGAAATTATAAATTCAGATTTCTTCACGATATTTTCCTTCAATGTCTGTCAGTGATGTCTAAATACTCATATCATACATATGACTGGGAAAAATCACATTAGTACTTGCCAGGATCAAACTTGCTGCCTCGTACATGAGAGGCGGGCCTTTAACCATTAGGCCACTAGTCACTATTAAACTAATTTAATGTTAAATGACTCACCAAAGGCATAACTTGTTTCTGCGTGGGTGGTTCAGGGGGAGGACCTCTTGTTTTAATTTCACTCGGTTGACGTCTGACCATAGGCCTGCTAGGTGCCTCTCTTGTCGGAGCCTCTCTCGCTGGAGGGACATCCCTTGAAGCGAGAGCTTCAGATATTGCAGCAACATTGGGTCCGGGAAACTGTCTCGTGTGCTCCGGTTTCGTCTTCTCTGGAGACCTTGGTTGGGGCGGAGGAAACCTTGGGGGATCTGATCTGATTTGACCATTCGGTGTTGTGCCTTAAACAAGAAATTAGCTGTTATAGTAACTTTTTAAGTTATTATAATTACTAAATTATGAGTATGAATAATGAGGTTGCATAGCCAAACTAATTACGAGCAGTTCCGAGTTAATCATTTGCATATCTTCTCATATAACAGCATCAACATAGATAAATAAATGAAATACTGTACACTCTGTTTAATTTTGTGGCATTAGCTCATAGTAAGCATACATTTATATGCTTACTAAGTGTCAAGTGCAAGAAATTTTCTCTTTATCTACACAGTTGTTTCCTTATAGACAACTACTTAGTTATTTGTGAAATAAAACTTGTAATTCATGTATAAATGCATTTTAGGTTGGTTTTAATATAAATTGAACCAGAAATATATTTATATGTTACTAACACAAATATTCCACACAGATTGAGAGTGAAAAATTTGAAAGTAGCAAAAATTAACACTAACAGAATATATCAATAATTAATTTGAAAATGTACTCTCATAAAATAATGTGTATATTTAATAAAACCTTAACATAAGATAGAATCTAGAATATCCAATAAATATCTTAAAATAATTATTATAGAATGTAATTGATTTCACTTTAAGGCCTTGATAAAATAATATTGAAGTTGATGATAATACTATCTTTAACAAATTAACACATAATACATTATAGAGTAATTTTAACTTTCTTATAATTGTTACCTTAATTACATATTAGTATTAAATGACTGAATAATTAACAGACAATAATTATTAGTTATTATGTTACAAAATCTCACCTGATAATTTTCCAGTGGGTTTTAGCTTAGGCATTCCACCTGCAAAGAGTCCACCCAAACCTGGAGGGCCTCCTCCATTGAAATTGGAGCCCCCGGTCTTCACACCGTTACCCACAGGGGAACTACTACTCACACTTGTTGTTTTCCCCGCTATAAAAGGTCCACTTTTGTCCACTGTCACAGTTTTTTTTAGTTTTGTACCTTGCCTAATAGAATTTAGTAAAGCACCTCTGTTATCTGGTGCATTACTCTTAGAACCGCCGAACAAAGGCGGGGGCGGAGGCCCGGGAGGTGGCGGAGGCCCAGGAGGTGGCGGAGGAGGCATGATTAAAGGCTAGATTCAACTAAAAACTATATTCCATTTGTTATTCACTAGATACTTGTAACGAACGTTGTTCCCGATCAGAGTGCACGATGATACTAACGTGTGATAATAACATTCAATGTTGGATACGTCACAACCCACCTATCCATACTAATTTACATAAAACACTAAGAGCCTTGCCCCAGCAGATTAATCATTGTAGGAAGTACGTAGGCACTATATTTTAGTTTGTATCACCTCATGCTTATGACTGTAGACATGAATACTTAAGCGCAGGACGTTCAGATTATGTCTGCGTAAGACACTAATAAAACAACTTTTTTATCGGTTCGAATGTTCAGTCTATCTCAAATGTATTAATGAAAAATTCATACAATTCACAAATTGCAACATGGCGGTCTACAACTGTCAAAACTAATAATAGTGTTACTATTATGAATTATTAAAAAAGGTGTGGTAGAAATATTTCTTCATTAGATCTTAGATCTTCATTAGAGTTTGTGTTAAGAAATTTAAATTAATGCAAGACAAAGAAAAAAAACAACTTTTTTATTGGAAATATTCTTTAATTTCAGTATTTTCATTGAAATACACCTTTAAACATACTCAACTCTTCTGGTCACTAAAAAATCACTCATACAATTATTTATAAAATTAAAATAATTATAAAACTATTGAACACTCGGACTTCCAGGTCCGGATAAAACATCATCATCGTCGGGATGCATTGACGCATATTTGTATAAATTTGAATCATAACTCGCTTCACTCCCACCTTGGGCTAACAGAGCAGCTTCTTTAGCTGCACGCTCTGCAGCTTCTCGTTCCTCAGCTATTCGTATTTCTCTTTCTGCATCGAGGTCTTCCTTTTCACGGGCAAGTCTCTCTCTCATCTCCATGTTCTCTCTATATTTAATAAGGCGATCGGATAAATATTTTATCGGATCTGCTGGTTGATGCACAACAACGTCAGCGATACATTCCCGCAGAGCCTTTCCTACTGTTAATTTAAGATATTTATAGTCCTCTGTAACATGAACATCGTCTGGACATGGTTCAAATATATCTAAATGACTTCGAATACGAACTAAATTTCCAAGACCATCATTCTCATATTCACTTACTGCGTCTGCTTCGCGATAAATATGTTTTCCATCACTATCTACATAATATCGCCCGTAATTATCGTAATGGTATGTCACCCCATCTCTTTCTTCCTTATGCTTTAGTAATATTCCTGAGCTGTCCATCATATATTCACTCGCTGTTGCGTGAGCCTTATATACTCTTTGTCGACTTTTGGGATCGACAAAATATCGTCCACATTCGTCATAAAAATATACGTGTTCTGCATCGTCAGTTAAAGGCACTAGTTTACAATGTTCATTTTGCTGATATCTATTATTATCATCTGGTAGTTTGTAAATTTTTCGGCTATGTTCATCAATGTAAAATGTACCGAGTTCATCAGTAAATTCTTCTTTCATATCCGCTGCACTTAATATGGATATTATTGATTTATGACTTTGTTCACCGAAGACTGCTATGTCCCATAGATAGCAAAGTTCTGTTACCAAACGCTCTCGTTCCTCAGGAGGCAGGGAGTGATTAAATATTCTTAATTGAAAGAAGTCCTCACAGGAGCATAAAGATCCTTCATCCAGATCAAAAGTGACATTGGTATTTTCTTGCAACTTTGTCAGTGTTGTTTTTAAACTTTCGAGCGTTGCCAGATGGCTTTCTAAATACTCTTTCTTATGTTGGAGAGCCATTAACGCTGCTGAAGTAGGTTCATTCTCCATTCTTGAAATACGGTCTTCTAGTATACTAATTTTCTCCACCACGGTACTGATTTCTAAATTGTGAACAGCTGTGCAGCGAATCATTGAACTCAACTGCTTTCCTTTATTTTTTAAATCCTCTAACAATTCTTTTGCAGCTGGAGACATAGAACTTTGAAATTCATCTACAATTTGTTGTAAAGTCTTAGTTAAATCACCGCTGAGGTGGGGTACATTTACGTTAATGTATTTAGCGACTTGTAAGGAAAAGCCGTCACTTATTTTATCAATCCAATTAAGCAGTTCATCGACTGCATCTCTTACTTTGATTCTGAATACATCGTCTCCATCGAAGGAACGGAAACATTTCAGTTTTTCTAAAAGTATTTGTATTGCTTCCTTGTGCATTTCCTCTATAATTTCATTATCGGCTAAAAGATTAGCTTGGTCTTCGTTTGAAAGTTCTGTCCTATGCTTAGTAATATACCTTTGATAATATTTTAGACGATTTGACAGAGCATCAATTGTGGAGCTAACAGCTTGATAAACTTCTTCTCTATGTAAGTCATATAGTCGCTTGTAGAACTGATCAACATTTTTAACAGCATGTAACCATTGCAAATGAAAATCCACTAGTATGTCCATTATTTCAGTTTTGGACTCTCCTTGCAGAGCAGTTCGCATAGAACACATTGCATTAAATACATTGTCAGCAAAATCCTCCTTTGTAAATAAAATAACAGGAGTTTCATAGAAGAATTTTATATGTTTTGATATGTCAAAAATTATTTTGTTGCTATTTTCTTTGTCCATTATTATTTTAAGCGATTGTCGGTTCGTCATATTGGATGTAATTCTTAATGATAAAAAATGGTGCAGGATTTTTCGCTACTAAATATTATCACTCTCAAAACTTTTGTACATCACAATTCCTGGTATCATATTATTGCGTCAATCAAGTGTATATATATTTTTTAATTTTAAATTAAGAAACAAATTGCGTAAAGTTTTTATAATTAAAACTTAAAAACAATAAAATTTATTTTTATTTTATATATTATCTTTCTTTTTCATTAAAGTAAAAGATGAATGTACTTTCATTTAATTTTGCATTTTATTATTAATGGGTACGAAAATGTTTCAACTTTTTTTTTTATTTTTTAGTCCAAAAAAGGTAGAATCTGATTATTTTTTATGGCAACTCGTCACGCGTCTACAATTTGTTTCCAAAAAGGTCGTCGATGACTTAGCGATTATACAAAATTACAGATTAGTGTAGCTGTTATTGTGTCGTTTTATAGTACGAATTGAATAGCAAACATACACATTATGGCCGGGGCAATGTTGTTCGAGAGATCACGCGTGTCGTCGTCTAACAGAGAGGAGGACGTCCGCATGACCGACAAAATGGTTAGCACAGGCGAAGTGCCCGAAGATGACGAGGAAAATATCAGAGCCAAAGAACAAGGAATACTGAATCTCGGAGAGAAATACAAGAAGGAAGGGAAAGCCAAGGAGTTAGCGGAATTAATAAAAGCCACCAGGCCTTTCTTAAGTCTGATAAGCAAGGCTAAAGCAGCTAAACTTGTCCGTTCCCTTGTTGATTTCTTTCTTGATTTAGAAGCTGGCATTGGTATTGAAGTTCAACTGTGCAAAGAATGTATAGAATGGGCCAAGGAAGAGCGCCGCACCTTCTTAAGACAGTCTCTGGAAGCCAGACTCGTCGCTCTTTACTTCGACACTGGTATGTACACCGAGGCCTTAGATTTAGCGACTGCCCTATTAAAAGAACTCAAGAAGTTAGATGACAAAAATTTGTTAGTGGAAGTGTTACTATTGGAGAGTAAAACCTATCATGCCCTCAGTAATCTTCCTAAGGCGCGCGCTTCGTTGACGTCAGCTAGGACCACAGCAAATGCTATCTATTGTCCTCCAAAAATGCAGGCAGCATTGGATTTGCAATCAGGTATACTCCACGCTGCTGATGAGAGGGACTTCAAAACTGCTTACTCTTACTTCTATGAAGCCTTCGAAGGTTACGACGGTGCTGACAGTCCTAAAGCTTTAACGGCTCTAAAATATATGTTATTGTCCAAAATCATGCTCAGTCAAGCGGAAGAGGTGGCCACAGTTTGCAGTAGTAAAGCAGCTCTGAAATATGCAGGTAAAGAATTAGAAGCCATGAGAGCAGTCGCTACTGCATCTCACAAAAGATCACTTGCCGATTTTCAAGCTGCTTTAAAGACTTATAAGCCAGAATTAGAAGAAGATGCCGTAGTCAGAGCTCATCTTGGCTCTCTATATGATACTATGCTTGAACAGAACTTGTGTCGCATCGTAGAACCTTATATGAGAGTTCAAGTGGACCATGTAGCTAAGTGTATCCGTCTACCAGTTGTTCAAGTAGAGAAAAAATTATCACAGATGATACTCGACAAGAAGCTAAATGGTATACTTGACCAGGGAGAGGGCGTTTTAATTGTTTTCGACGAATCCCCCCTCGAGAAGACCTACGAAACAGTTTTAGAAACCATTCACCATATGAGCAAAGTTGTTGATACACTCTACCAGAAAGCTAAAAAACTATCATAGGCCCGCCTGAAATTGTTGTAGCAATATAAAAACTATAAAATATATGAATTAACTCACATTCTGTTCCATTTCATGTAAATTAATGCAGTTTTTTTTTATTGATGGCATATTTTTATTAACTTTTACTTACAAAACAGATCAGTGATTTGCTATCATAGATTTATAACAGAGAATATAATATAGCTTTCATTTTAATTTATACCTAACAGTTTGTTAATTTGAAATATTATGACTAATCCCTAATTTGTTTCAATATCCTTTTTTTTACTTAAGCTAGTGACAAATTGTAATATTCTGTTTTATTGGGAATAAAGTTGTTCTCTAAATAGTGTTGTTTTGGTTTTCCGCCCACGGAACAAGATTTGCCAGTCATTTTGTTGTTGGCACAAATGCTGCTCAGTATATATCCAAGTACAATGCACTTTAAATGACCTTTATATTTGACTCGTCCGAAGTAACAACAGTTTTCAATTACACATAACTTGTTTGTCCTTGTTTTGTTTTCAACTTCAATGTATTTTTAAATTAAAATCATTCTGAATGTCTTTAAAAAGGGATTGCAATTAAACAAAAATATTTTAATAGTTGTTTATTTAGAGAAATCAGTATAAAAAGTAAATTCTTAAAGACAGACATTTTGTAACATTTATAATATTTCACAGAGTTAAATATTTTTAAAATAACAGTGAGGATCCTTCATAATCACAGTGACACTTAAAATAAATATGTAAAGAAAGTAATCCTTTTATTATCTAAAAAAATTATAATTATTACTTACTGCAACCAACATTAATTTAAGAAAAAAGACCTAGATACATATTAACACTTGTTCACTGGCGCTTATACAAATTGTGCTTACGTATTCTGCAGTACAACGTATATGAATCAATTGATTCAGTTATAACACGGAACACTTAATGAAATTTTAAATGTGTTCTGTTGTACATACTTCATAGAAGTATATGTTACATGTGGTACACACTTCATAAAAGTGTATACTGATGAGTTGTACACAATTCATATGACTATGTACTAAAGTTCTATCAGACGTTATTCCTTCTATTGAATTCTTCAGTATCATCAGGTACATCCCACCTTGGTTCCCAGAACCCGCCTGGCGTATTCGGTCTAACAGGATTGTTCCGACCGCGATGTTTTGAACACTCGTTCATCTTACGCGCCAACATCACAGGGTCGTCTTTATATAGCTCGTCGAAGAACTGAACAAACATAAATTTAAATAATTTTTATAATATATAATTAATATTTATACTTAGTTTTAATTTTGCTAAAGGCCTGTAGTCATTATTATTTTGAAAACCTTTAGTGCTCTAGAAATATGTTATTTCAAAAACTTGAACATACTATTAATATGAATATTTATTAATGATTAAGTGGGCTGGTTACTATGAAATCCTATATACATATTAACAATGGTAAAGAAACAATGTTATTATACATTAAGTGTTCAGTTTGTAGACATATTTACGTATTAAACTTTCTATTTTTTCTTTGCTAACGTTAATCTATAACTTTTACACATTTTATCCACCTTGTAAGTTGTGACTTGTATATTTTAATATATTGTTAGCAAGAAACATTGATATATCTTAGAAAAACAGATCAAACATAACAGATAAGAATGAAATATTTTATCAATGATTTATTGATACTGACTTGACTTTTTACGAAAACATTTTGTTGATTCCATTAAAGAATAAGTTTGATTCTAAATGATTAACATAAATAGCATTCCAATTTCCATTGTTACAATAACTTCACTATGAATTCAATTAAGATATAGTACATTTAAGACAGAAAGATTAGCTTTACATATTACTTGTATTGTAACTTTTTGACATATTAAACCAAGACTAAGTGTCAATAGAATGGACTGAAGTAACCCCCTCTTAAACTTCAACCATCACAATACTTATTAGAATTCTGTCATTTAAGGCTAATGTATGTCCATCTTAAATTTTAATTATAACAGTACATAATTTAATATTATACTAACTTCTCTGCACTCATCACAACTCCAGCCTGGTAATGATCGTTTCTCTGCCTTTGTCCTAACACTTGGTTCTTTAAAGAGAGGCTCCACTTTATACAATTGATTGTTCCTGAAATTAAGTTAGGTCAAATTACTCTATTGAATACAAATTACACTTTATTATAAGTAAGTTGAAATTGTTATTCAAAGACATAGTTACTCCCACTTGGACATAACTATCAAAATTAATAAAATTATAAGATTTTGTATTAATGTGAAATATAAAATATAGATCAGGTTTTCCAAAAAGCTGTCTCATGTAATGAGGAAAATAATTATAGCAAAGTGATCACTTCATTATGATAATTTTAGTTAAAAAATGACATAAATATTAAGTTACTAAGTCACATTGCTCATAAAATTTCATTGTTTTTAATACAAAATGGTGCACAAGCAATAATGGTATACATTTCAGTTATATAAATTGCAAAAAAAATCTAGGAAATTAAGTTATTAATGTGCATTGAAAATTCAATAGACTTAATAATGTAATATTATTTAATAATATTAATATTTAACATACTGAGCTGTGTTTGCTGTTGTTGGAGGTTTTACTAAAGATGATCTTGATTCACCATCAACTGATTTGTTCACGATATTTACATTCTCATTCAACGGCTTCTTAGTGGGACTGAAATATTTAGATATTTTATTAAAGAGATTACTGACAGATATATTGCTATATTCATGTTCATATATATATATGGTAAATAATTCTAGCTTTTGTATACGATTTCATATGTGTTTCAGTATATTTTGGTATGCTCTTTAACGAGAACCGACTAAACAAAATGAAATAGAAATGACAACCAACTGATAGCGCCACCTATCGTCTGCAAATACGTTAAATATACTAAATACATATTACTTAATTATAACTCTCACGATGTCTTTCCGCTAGATCTTAACCAAATATTTATGATGTATTAATATTCTTATTTATGAGGTGTATTATTATAAAATTTTATTGAAATCCGTCAAGTAGTTTAAGAGTGAAGTAGTAGTTTATCCATACAAACTGTATTATTCATTTACTATATCACTAAGACTACATTTCACCTGTGGGTGTCGCTGTTACATCCAGTGTTTTTCATCCTCAGTAACGACGTACTTTCATTTTGGTTTGAGTACGTTGATCTAACAGCTTTCGGTGATTTAAATCTGAAATATTGTACTAAGGTGGTTTTTAAGACTATTGAAAGTGCTTTTTTTCAGTGAAACTTCTTATGGGACTTGCAATAGGGTTGCGTTAAACGTTTAACGCTGAGGGAGAGAGAAAGATACATGAATGTAGAAAGTAGGAGAGTGTCGTTAGATTCAGAACTTTGTAGCGAAGTTAACTGCGAATGTCGTGAAATTAGCTACATACATACTTGTAGTTCTATATTAATTTATTAATAATATTCATTATGTTTTTAGTTTCATTTCATACATGTATAATTTAATGGGCCAATATTTTATTTTAAAATTTAGTAGATAAGAATTGTTTTAATTACGAAGTTTTTCTTCTAATATTTTCATGACAAATAATATTTGTTGGAAACAATACACTTGTAAAACCCTTGTAATAAAGAGACGAGATTATAAATATATTAAGAAAAAATTTATTAAGTATAGATAACTTTTACCTTTTGGGATAATTCTGTAATATATTAATTGAATCTTCAACATCATTTGAATTGCCCACATTACTTATACTCGGAGCTTCTTCTAAATCCAATTTCATTGACATTTGTGGCCTTTTCATTTTATTCGGACTTTCTTTGGATAGAGTTTTGTATCTGAAATTCAATTATGAGTATTTGTTGTCTATTGTATTTGCTTGGCAAAATTAAATAATAATACGATATCAAGTATTATGTAGCAAATTACATTATTATGTAAGGTATTGCTATTCAGTTTCTCAATTTAGGACAATACATATATAATATATATACACTACAGAATGTTAATAACTTCATCATCCCTACTAATATTATAAATGCGAAAGTAACTCTGTCTGTTTGTCTCTTACGCTTTCACGCCTAAACTACTGAACTGATTTTAATAAAATTTGGTACAGAGATAGAGTTGACCTTGGGAAAGAACATAGGATAGTTTTCATCCCAGATTTTTGAAAGGTTCTCTTGGAAACGCGATATAACAGAACTCCACGCGGGCGAAGCTGCGGGTGGAAAGCTAGTTATATATATATACTTACACTGGAAGTTTTATAACACCACTAGTTGGTGACGGTAGAATGGTGTCACTATCGAAAATATCTTTCTTTACATCACGCTGGAAAAAAACAAACAAACTTTCTTAGAAAAATAAATTATTAAAAACGATTTGATAACAACATCTATATTATACAAGCTATCTTGAGCATGATAGTTGAATTTATATGGAAATAAATGTAGAACTAAAAATTCATGGGCAAAAACAGGCTTTGAATCTGCTACTTATTGAATATTGCATTGCAAACGATTTTACAATTGAGCTATTATGCACTAATAGTTGTAATTTATTTTTAATATAAATTAGTTTTATATTGCACTGTCATATACAGAGGTGTTGTATCTTTTAAATATTTCTATAATTATTAATACTAGTAAATTTAATGATTATTATTAATCACCTGTATTTCCGTCTCATTTAAATTTTTAATACATTCTGGAGAACATGTAAGGTCTATAGTATTCATATTTTTTGTCTTTACCAGACTTAGTCTAGACTGTTTTAATCTTGCACCAGTTTTCTGTTGATTTTGTGATGGAAATGATAGTTTTATACTTTTTCTCTCTGGTGTGAGCCTGTAATATTTTATATATTTATTAGTTCTTCTCTTGTATTATCAGTTTGTGTGTAGAAAAACCCACAAAAATGTATATAATTATTGTAGATAAAATTGTTCTTAATAAACAAATTTATCAATAAGTTTGATAAAACTGTTTTTAAGTAACAATGATATCACAATTCAAATAAGACAACACAAGTTATTCAATATTGATTTGTACCAGTCTAAAATTCATACAAAATTATATATAATAATAATTTTAATATGAATACTAACCAATCATCGGGACATTTAATCTTATCTTTTATGTTTTGTTGATGTTTGCCTTTCTTGCTTTGTATAATAGGACTTTTCCGACCGGTCGGAGTTCCCTCTATTTCTAATACGGTATCATTATTAACATCTTTAATATCTTTGTCTGGACTTGTTTCTTTATAATCATTTGGGGAACAGTTTTTTGATATTTCTGTACTTGACTTTGTGAGCTCTCTTATAGAATCAAGTGCTGATATTTCCTTTGTGTCGCATAATTTCTTAATAACTGACACTGTAAATTGAAATTAATAATTAATATTTTCAAATTTGTGTTAAAAGACAAAGTGAACTCGGACTTTTAAATTTAAAAGCCTTTTCAGAATTACATATATATTATTTGTTAACATTATTTAAGAAAGTTTATAACAGAAATAATATTAATTTAATATAAATAAACAATATATAACCCACAGAGTGAATGAAATTTATTTTCCTTTAATAAAATTTCTGTCTGAAGGGATTCACAGCTACAACACAGGGAACTGAAATTAAAAAAAAATTATGTTATATATGTAATTCCATATACATATTTCTAGATAAATTATTAAAATGAGACAATATTATATTTAATAAAAATACCTGTCTTTATTGTATTTATCTGAATCTAATATACTTCTTAAATGTTGATTTTCTGAATGCAATTTATTTATTTCAATGACTAAATCTGAAAAGCAAAGCAATTATTTAATATGCATGCATGTATATTAAAATTAATGGAAATATGTTGTTTATTATTACAACAATTAGGTATATGTCGTACCTTTAAAATTTGACAGCGTTTCGTTTAATGAATGTTCTACAGCATTTATTTTTAAACTTGGGAATTCGTATGGCAAAGGGGATGTTATCTCAGTTCCACCCATATCAATTATCTTTGTTTATTCTTTGAAAAAAATGGTAACATAATAAATTTTACCGCCTTTTCGAATTTTAGTTCCCTTTTGATTAGTGAAAACTTTTTTTAAGATATGGATTCAGTCACACTAAATTTGAGGAATATTTTGCGAAAGAAAACGTTTTTATTTATAGTAACAATTAACAAATCGTAAGATAATTTTAATAGATATAGTATGGGAAACAGTATTATAAATCACAAATTACAAGTAAACGTCAAATTAGAAGATCCATCATCCATATAGTTATGTACTACAAAATACAAATGTTGCTTGTTTTATTTTTTGTATTTAATAATACGATAATTCATCTAATTGTATAAAAATACTTTATATTTTGTTTTTTTTGTTGATAAAAGGATTGTTTTTATATATAGGGCTTTTAAATATTTTTTAATCGTAAGATAAACGAAAAAGCAAAACTCCTTTGTAGTACTAAATATTTATCTATCTGTGTTAAGACTATCTGTTATGTTTTGACAGTAGAGGAAATAAATATCTGCCAGGCAAAGGATTTACAGAAAAAGCCAATTTTTATTATTATTCTTGAATTCAGACTGATTTTAATTGGAAAAAGAGTAGAAAGGTAAATAAAATAGAATTACGAATAGTAAATTATATTATACCAATGAATTAGACAATTGTGTAACTATATGAATCGTAAAATATTATTGTTAACTTTTTCTTTTATAATGATCTTTTTCTTTATTTATAAATTCTCAATCTCTAAATTAAAAGGTTTTTTCATTTTATGTAGCTGCTCAAGATGTCTTTTAAAATTTTCTGTTATATGTCATTAAAAGACCTTGTAACAAAAAGATGAATGATGTTAAACTTTTGCCTTCTAGTAACTTAAAAATAAATGTATGTTTGATTTTAAATTTTGTAGACCGTATATCTTTAATATCTTGTTTGTTTTCAATTTAATTTTTATGGAGACTGGGATGTACTAATTTAATCCGATTCTTTGAATAATATTACAATACGTTGTAGGATGTTAGAAAACAGTAAAATGGAAGAAAATGAGGATATGTTTATCGTGGTCATTAGTAACGAAAGTGATCAAACTTTTCCCGCGCCAGTGCAAATTAAAGAGGAAGTCTTAGAAGAAAGCGCGGTTGAAGACGTCGAAGAAGTGATTAACAAAGCAAAAGAGTACGGAGAAGTAGTGGATGTAGAATGTCAGGATATAAAAGAGGATTATGATAGTAACGTCGATGTAAAACACGACTTTGAATACGAATTTGTTGATGTGGATTTTATCAAATCTGAAAAAGAAGATTCAGATGAGGTAAGTGATGAAGACATTAGGGCTATGAAAACAAGTATAATTAAGGGTTTAAAAATTAAAAGACGGAAGCTTCTGAAACCATCTGAAAGACGGTCCTATATAGAGGAACTGAAGGAACAGTTTCCAGAATTGCAAGATGATGATGAGCTTCTCGTTAGATGTTTGGTTGAAATAATGAAGACCACGAAGCCCCCGCCGCCGCCACTGGATTATTATGTTATGGACGGAATTATGTTAGAGTGAGTAGAAAAAATACCTATAGATTGATAAACTAACTAAATAAAAAAAAATTATTTTACTTCTGATATCTAAGATTTTTGAGAATGCTCATTTAAATGAAACTAATATTTTCGGATTTTACTTTGCGTTTGTATTTTTGATTACAAACTACATACTCCCGACGTTACGGCTACTTTTCAGCAACCGGTGATCACGGTGAAAATATTAATTTCATTTATTTTACTTATATTGCTATAAGTGCAATAAATTTAATCCTATGGTCACCTAAACTAGAAATAATAATATTTTTAATATGAATAATATAACAGGTGTGTTATATGTGGAACTCATAATGAATCAATACCGGCAGCCGGTCGGCATTACCAAGAGAAGCATGGGGAGAGATATCTGTACTGCTATGCTTGTGGAGCTAACTTTAGAAGGTATAAAAAATTTTGTAACATTTTTTAACTATAAACTTGATTGTGGTATAATATTCCTGATATTAGCCCTAGTGGGTTTATTTCAAATTTGGTTAGATAGAGAGAGGAGCTTGTACAGTGGAGGTGAGCATGTAACGCGCCTTAAACCTACACCTGGGTCGCAAGTCCCAGTCACTCTTGAAGCTCCCCTCACTGCAACGATGGATCCCTTACCTGCTCATAGATTCATTGAAATTCTAGGAAGTCTCATGAAATTTGTATATATTATGAAATCAGTATAATATTGCATAGTTCAAAGTTAATTTCTCCTATAAGTTATAATTATTTAAAACAGTGTTATGGCAACACTAAGTATATTTAATATAAGTGTTACATCACAGAAAAATGAAAAAAATTATATTTTAAAATAGTTGTATGTGTGTGTATTTCAGTACTACCAACCTATATAAGCATGAGAAGCGTTGTGAAGCTCCATACATTAAGTTGGTACTCCGTGCCAGAGCCCTATCGCTAGGTCGAAAGGGCCGTTCAAGACCTTTCCTACCGAAATTTGATAACACCGAGCCGAGAAGGTACTTGAAGAAAATTAGGTATTGTATTCACAGTAATTATTATAGTAAGGTTCTATCAAAACATTTACCATTTAATTAACAAATATATTTATATGTATCACTAGTATGATTTGTTCGACTACCCTCTTTTTGATTATATATTTAATCATATTTAAGTTTCTTAGTATATTTTAAAGAAAAATTATATATATGTATGTATTAATTATACATGTGCTGCCATCTATTACATAAATGAAACAATCAATTTTGTTCCGTATTACATAAAATATAGAGTTTAATAATAATATTAATAATATATGTTTTCAGATACAACTGTGATGAGTGTTCAGCGTCTTTCTCAACAAAGTATTCTTTACAAGCACATCAGTTACTACACCGAGGTCTAAGACCCTATCGCTGCCCCATCTGTCCTTGTGCATACACATCTAGTACTGTGCTCACTGTAAATATATTTATATTTCTATTTGATATACTAAATTATGTAAAATAGATGAAAATAGCAATAAATCTCTTCATGTATAATATTAAGTATAACTGTGCAAAATAAATAGATTTGGAACTCGACTTATTAGTCATCAGAAAGTGAAAGTCTTAACAAAATTGTTCTAACAGTATAAGGGAATAGAAGAACAGATATACATATCAAGAAATATGTTATTTCAGTATAATATGTATCGTGGTTACATATACAGGGTGACTGGTGAATTACTATCGATATTTGAGGACGTGATATTTGACGATCCTATATGACAAAATAAAAATTAATATAACATAAATATTAATAAACTTCTAAGTAAAGTTAACCAAAAGTTATGTAATTAATTACGCATCGTATGAACACCCTACAGATTAGGTATACACACACACACACACACTCGCGCGCGACGGCGTGTTGTTGTATCAGCACGCCGCCGCACGCGTCCATACTTGGAACACTTGGAACGTGCCCACGCTTTATTTATTTTTACGGAAATTTGGTCAAAAACTAAGTACCTATTTTTTTTACATAATTCGAATGAGAATCATGTACCGAGTATGCTCCTTAAATATTGATAGTAATTCACCAGTCACCCTGTATATGCATGTACATTTATTAAAAGTCGATTATTTTACTCCATCAGAAACACATCCATAGTTGAGTTTTTAATGTAAGTTTCAAGTAATATTGTCGTCAGTATGTAGTACATTTAATATGTAATATATTTTATTTTCCAGAGACATATGAAGAAGCACGGTTCGTCTCGGTTCGTGTGTGATCACTGTGACCGCGCCTTCAATGTGAAGGCTGCCCTCGTGGCGCATCTTAACACACATCTACGTATGTTACTATAATATAGATTCATTCAAATAATATAGCATCACTAAAAACCAATATAATCGGGGATAATTTAAATCCGCCTAACTACTATTGGATAATTTCCAATATCTATATTAGAAGTAGGTTATCAAAAGACAATGTTGAAATATTTTCTATATTAACGACCTTTAAGGTAATTTTTTACAATGAGTAACACTTAATAATTAGTAATTGTGAAAAAATTAGGTTAAAAGTTGATAGTGTAGGAAATATTCCAGCTTAAACTTTCTTCCGACAATCTGCTTCCAATGTAGATACGGGGAATTATAATAATTATATAAGTTACGCGGATTTTTGCACTATCCCGGACGATATACAATATAATATTGTATTTATTTCAATTATGTCGTGTATGTTTCCAGCTGAGAAGAAGTTCGCATGTCCTGAATGTCCGAAGCGATACTCACAGAAGTCGGCTCTTATATTACACGAGAGACGAGTACACAGACGACTGCCGCCGCCCGCCGCCTGCAGGCTGTGTGACAACAGGTACACACACACCCACAAAAACATACATACATTACATGTACACTAACTAGGGAATGCAATCTCGAGGCGAGATCTCGAGAATTTCGAGATCTCGGCTGAAATTTTAAAAAATATCGTTTTTCTTAAGTGAGTAAAACATTTATTGCGCAGTAAACCGTTCGTATTTTTCATTTAAGAGCATGGACCATAAATATAGTAAACCGTTACAGTAACTACTTATCCGTAGATTTAAGTTGAACCTATGTTAGAGTACAAAAATAATAAATATAAAAAAAAAACAAGTCTTATGAATGGTTTTGGAAATAACTCCTTATAAAACAGAGAGTGCTTAATGTGCTGACATGCGACGACATAGATTGCATTCGCGATCCAGCGCTCCTTCGTCCGTCAATCTCTGTTGCGAGCGCAATGCGTCCCTGACTGCCGCCATTCAATCTCGGCCGAGATCTCGTCATTTTATGCTTCGATATTAATCTCGAAAAATAAGGCGAGATCTCGATCACGCGAGATCGATTGCATTCCCTAACACTAACTCATAAATATGCATACAATCTCGCTTGTACACACATGTAGACAAACACGAACAATCACTGGTGAACCTATCAGTACATGTGGTGACTGTTTCAGTATATTTTTAATGTATAGTATTGTTATTACATTGTTCCTTGTTGTAGGTACCCGAGGATGTCAGTACTGAAAGAACACATGAGGAAGGTGCACGGCATGGAGCTCATGACGAGAAAGGTGAGGAGCTACACACACACACACACATACAGACACATGCACGCACATTCAGAAGATGATTATCTTATATATCAAATTCTCATGTAGCGGTGTGAGATAGAGAACGCCTCCAAAACGGTTGAACCGATTTTGATGAAATTTTGTGAGCATATTGAGCAGGTCTGAGAATCGGCCGACATCTATTTTTCATACCCCTAAGTCATAAGGATTGTTCATCTTTTCGGACGAAATCTTTTATTTTTTATAATTTAGTATCAAAAATACATACAAATTTTTACTTTTTTATCACTGGGGCCCGGTTTAATATGTAAAAACATATTTTTAATTTAACCGATTTTCGGTCTAGAATGTGTTTTTTACATGGACTGTCATATTTAGACTGTGAAAAACCAACTTTTATTTTCCATATTTTTCCATATTTCAAAGTTAAGTCCATATTTTACAAGAAAATGTCACAATCATCCATATATTCACAAAAATACATGAAATTTACGTTCCCGCTACTAATGCTTTGGATAAAAATAAAGGATTAAATAACTTGAAAAATTAACAAAATTCTGTGCGAAAGTTTCGAGGGCTGTAGACATGGCTTACCCAATTACTGAATTAAGCATGTTTAAGTATGCTTAAGTATGCATCCATCACGTCATGTGACTTGAGATGAAACCAATCAGCAGATATATAAATATAGCCTTTATTTCGACCAAAGTTTTCATTTTGATAATTTAAAGAATCACGTCATTATGTTTTGCATTGCAACCAATTTAATAAGGCTAGTGTAATGGAAGTTGAATAAAACTGTTATTTTTTGTTGAAATAAATATTTCGCTACTTTTTTTCATCGTTTTTTAAATGTAACTTAACGATGTACGTCACGAGTGATCCTTTCCTAAAGTAAAACAATATTTAATTATGAAAGTATATAATTTTATACTCCATATTTTTGATTTTTTCGTCCATATTTTATGTACATATTTTAGATTTTTTAATACATATTTATCCGGGCCCTATTTATCACCAACCCCTATTTTTTTATATAGCAATACAACCTTTGCCGGGTCAGTCTTATATATAAATGTATATGATATGTTCGCAGATGTTCTTCAAGAAGCTGCCGACGCTGACCGACACTCAGCTACATCAGGCCAAAGTGATTCTGAAACACGAAGTACAAGACAACGACTACTACGTGACCAAATATACGTAGCGATATATACGTTGTTGATGTTCAATATTTTTATAATTCTATACATATTTTATACTGTTGATATATTTTATTCCTAATGTATTTTAATATTAAAGTTCCTCGCTGTACAAATATTAGTGAGATGAAATATTCATGAATTTGTACCAATGATAGCATTTTTATTTAAGAAAAATGTGAATAGATAATTTTAATTATTTTTTTTAGTTACTCTGACTGTTTCAGTTCGAAAATATTCCGTTTATAAATTCGTAATAATTCTGTCATATATTTTTTGTATTCAAATTTGATTACAATGAACCAAAGAGTTGAATCTCTTTCTATATTAGTAAATTATTAATTAATGATTTTATAGAATGATTATAATTAATTTATTAGAAAAAATATTGATTTTAAAATTTAATTTATGTCTCAATGTTATTGTTAGATAATTTTGTTTCTATTGATTACCACTCATTAATAGGAATTTGAAATGATTTGAAAGTCTTAAAAAAGGGTCACGATTGAAATGAACACAAAGGTAAAACGTTTTATTCAAATAAAAGAATTTTTTTAATACGAAAAAGTGTTTTATTACGCACTTATTATTTCAACCAAATGTTTACGAAATACTCATCTATAGCATAATGCATACATCGTTAAGACACCATAGTTTGATAATGTCTCGTTAAGAACTAGGAAAATACAAAAATATTAAGCGGCTTGTTACATGTGGAGGTATTCCAGAGGCGAGTACTGAATGAATGAACGAACGAATGAATGAATGATTGTAAGTATAAAAAATGAGAATGAAATATGAATGATATTGAATGTATATGAATGAGATTGTAGATTAATGTTCGTGATATGATGTACTCGTCCGCCTTCGGGAACTACCGCTCGTGTTTGGACACTAAGGGTATATAATTAACGGCTGGTTGAGGCTCCACAAGTCTTATCAACAACCGGTACGGCCAACATGCACAAAAACTAATTTCCACATCCTAGATGATCGCAATCTTAATAATGGTCCAAAAATATCTAATAGCATTTCTAAACGACTGAGTAGAAAAATACTTTATGCATCACACAGATATCTTTTTTTTAATTTCTCACTTTTTTTTTAAACATCAATGATATTTTTTTTTATCGTGTCGAACGGCGAAGATCAAAATACTTTAGGTCTAAGAGTGTTAATTACATACTACTGTGACAATCTGAATAAGTTCGATTAGTAATTGCATAATATCCATGGAAATTATCGACAGATCGTAAATTGTACTTTGTTATGGCAGCTTGAATAGTGATAGTACAAAGTCGATGAACCGCGATATCGATAAAATATATTCCCTCTAAACGTATAACTAGGTCTGTTTCAATTTCCATGTAACATATGCATATGTACTCGTACCATACATCTATACATTACAGATACAACACAAGACATATGTGAATATTGCAATGCGTTTACAATGTAACCTTAAAACTAATCAAAAAGACGTATCTGATCTCATTTATCACAAAAATACATTTACCATATTGAACACCAATAGTTTTGTAGCGTCTAAAAGCGGTGTTATAACGAATAGCCGTTATAACTGGTATCGTTTCAACGAGTGCTTTTCGTGGTGTGAAGAAAAGCACAGGTGACGTCATCAAACGGCATGGGAACATCACAAAACAAGCACGTTCATTATATAACACTTACGATTAAAGCCGAACTGAGCCGTCACATTTAAGATATCAGATAGTTGTTAGGCCCGCAACAGATTTTGTCAGAAGGAATACATTCATTATGTCGCTATTTCGTCTCATTATAAAACACGATCGTCTACTTCGTATGTTCGTAGACATCTTTTATAATGCTTCGACATAACCAGACACTTACTGTAGCCATTTAAAATACTTATTGTACAAATAATTTATCGTCAAAAGAGCGTTACTTACATTCATTTATTTATTATATAATGTATATTAATATTTATAACTCTAGTGGCAGTTTCAACGCTCTGATAGTACGATGGCAAATGTTTATATTGAAAGTATTTGTTATACTTATGTATCAAATTAATTCAATTAATAATACAATCGCATTAATTGAATTAAATCGAAACAATCAGTTCAAGTTATCCGACTACGCTTTTTCTCCAAACTACAGAACTTCACAGATGTAGTGTTTATTTTTATATTTTTAACTCCTTTACATTTATAAGATATTTTACAATCAGTCTCAAATTTCAATAATTGCTATTCGTAACTGCCGGGAACCTAATAAAATATATTGATGTATATAAAATTGCATACAACCTCCTTTTATTATTGAAAAAAGAAAAACAAGTTGACGCTTATATAATCTGTGCATGATATAGCACTATTATGAAGATCTTTTAATAAGATTTATAATAATGTTAAGTCGTAGTCGGTATAAATCTTGAACAGTACTCGGACGCGATTGGTTCCTTGCTAAGCGTTCTGTTGATGTCTTTGTGTTTTGTATCGTGTCGTGGTCGTCACGTGGCCGTAAGGCACGTCATACATAACAGTTCCAATATCGATAGATCATCGAAAGCTCATGCATTTACTTACAGATAATATTATAAATGAATATTCATATGGGGTTAAATGTATCTACTTATTACATTTAAATGGAAACAATAAATGAATAATAAAACATGCTCCGAACCATCGGCGTATAAAAGTTTCAATCGATTCCATTCTCAATTACATGTTTGTTATTTAACATAAATATAACCTCATAGAAATAAACGTAGAGGTACAGTCGAGAGACTGAACTAAAACATTAAAATGTCCATATTAATAGTGTCGACTAGTCACCTCCAACGTAATAATAAAGCGAACCTTGTACAGAAGTCACTAGGAACATACTGACGTCTGAGCAATTCATGAGAAAAAAAAATCGATCTAGAAATTCAAAAACTATACTAAGATACTTATCACAGGTTAAGGGGACAAGAGAAAGTATTAGTGTTCTCTCAATACAGTAGTCATATGTAAATATAAAACTAATACAACTTAAGATACGGCCCGCTACAGCGGCCATAATAACATAACCGATAACTAAAAGTAATGTAAGCCGCTGCCCACCGCTGGCCGGCTGAGATCGTTTACTTAAACAAATCTAACACGCGACTGTTGAAGCGCTGCAGCGACGTAGAGATACGATGACGACTAACAACGAACGGACACCTGCGAATATTCAAACATCTATTCCAATAATAATTCACGTTTTGACAAAAATAATCTCTAGCGATGTTTGTATGTTCGCGGGTGTAGTTCGGTGTTAGTGGTGGTCGCCGGTGACGTCATCACGAGGGCTCGCGCCGCCGGCGGCTCATATCGACGTATCGATAGTTCACACCGCACCGTCTATCGATATCCTGTTAATTGACAGTCCGTTCCACAGCACTATAGTCCGCGCCACGCGCTCAGTCCCAACCGTTCTCTTTAACCATATGAGCCAGTTCTATTATGAACTTGCCCTCTTTGTATTTCTGACTCGACTCGAACGCGTACTCCTGGAAAAATAAATTTATATTTTATGTACAATATTTAAGTTTTATACAATTTTGTAACAAATATAGATCATAAAATATTATAAATAGTGTGAATAAAACAAGCAAGCCTATTAGGCAGTATGTTTCATCAAGTCCGCCATTTTGTGTATATCATAATGATAGTCTATGGTCTGTATATAGTCTGTGGTAGTCAACTCACATATTTCCACCCCAGCATGGTCTTGCAACACTCGCAGTAGATGTCAGCGACCGCGTGCAGGCCCGTCAACAGTACGCGCTCCTCGGCCTGACCGCACCCGACGTTCACACTACAACATAAATACAGATTATATAAAAAAATGATGCATATTCCACAGATTATATTCATATTGAATGCTAACTGGCAGAGTATAAAATTATAAGACAAAAAAATATAAGGACAAATACGTACTAAAAAGTATGTATGTATTACATAACAACATTAGACATAGTGGTTCTTTTTTTAAATTCCAACCTAAAAAACTTTATCAAAAACTATAAAATATTTAATGTTAATATTAAAAAACGTATCAAAATACTTCTAATTTAAGTATTTTCTATTGAATACTTACACTGAATTGAAAAGATACGCGCGCCCCTGGCTGCCTTGGAACGACTGAAAGAAAAAAATTATACACTAAAATTATGGGCTAAAAATAACAAGACAGAATATGATATTATGAAAAAATAAGGCTTCGTGTACACGTCAGTACGGAAGAAAGTTCATCTTAATGACATATATTAATATTAGTAACGCTAATTAAAATTGTAAACATAAAAGAAATACGTTTATATGAAATTTCAATACATAAGCAGGTAATTTTATTTAATATTCCCTAATTAAATATGAATTATATAATAAAAATGTTGTAATTTATGACCGTTTATTAATATTTGTTCTAATCTGTATTATTATGTTGTCGGAATTCGTGTGTAATGTACAGGTTTATATAATATTTAGAAACTAATTGGCGTGAAGTTTTACACGAACTAATGTCACGATAGAGACGCAACAAAATATATATATATATAATGATGTGGAAAATTGTGAATGAAATTTAGAGAAACAATTTCTCTTAGAAAATTGTTGATTTTTGATGTTAAAACTTTTGTTGATAACTGTTCTGCTCTTAACACGAGTTTTAAACGACACGCTGAATGCGAATAGTTTTTTAGTTTTTCTATAATACATTTCTTTTCATAATGTCATAAGCGATGATTTGGGAATGTAATACCCGAAAATTTCCGTATGTAACACGAACGCCAACTCATGGTAAGCATAAAGATATTAATAGAAATAAATAAAAGAAAAATTGAATATTACTTTCACTCGTAAACTTCATGGTAATTAAATATGTCGACAGTAGAAATCCAAATACATACAGCGAACTACATAGTTAACTGAAAATAGCATAGATATAAATGTAACCAAATATTTATAAAGAGAGAACTATTTCTAATATTCTGAGTGAAAGAATAAAACCGAGTGCACACTATCCGGTGATTTGCTGTATAAGGTGCATTGTAAACGAGTGTAATAACGAAAAAAAATTTAAATAATAAAAATAAATATATTGGCATTATATTGTGGACCATGTTATCAATAACGTTACGTTCGATGTTTAAAAAATATAAATGTCATTATCCTACTACTATAATTGCGAAAGTTTGTGAGTGTGTATGAATGTTTGTTACTTCTTCACGCTCAAACGGCTGAAGCGATTTTGTTAAAATTTTGTATACAGGAAGCTGACGTCCAGGAATAAGACAGAGGCTACTTTACGTAAGGGAAATTCGCTTGTATGTACCTTCGAGATGAGTTCGTCATGGCTGGCGAGGTGCGCGCGGCAGTGTATGCAGCTGTACGTCCTGTGGGCCGGCAGGTAGGCCTGGAAGGTCTTCACCGGCCTCGCGCCGCCGGCCACGCCGCGGCTGGTGACGTCACGCATCAGTGTACAGCTAGCAACACAAGTCGCATCAACCGACTCGCCCCGGACCTGCCCTAAGCGTACAACGCCGCCATTGACATTAGAGTTACAGATTACACAAATACATACTAAATATATAAGTGTCATCATTTTATTTTCATTTATTTAATTTGTGTCCATTAATCTTTTCTTCAGAGCGCAGGCAACAGACCAGTTCAAATAAAACGCTATAAATGAATGGCTACCATTAACCTCATTTATAAATCGCTTCAAATTGTCTGTTATCGAGTATGTTTATTAAAACAACATAAAACATCTCCATATGTGACTGATTTATTCTGTATGCAAATTCTAAATATATAACTGGTTAAGAGCACTTCATGTTTGTGTTCAATTAGACTGCATCAATACTGTAAAGTTTAAAGTATTTGGACTGTGGCATTGTTGATATCAAAACTTGCATATAATTATGGATTTAATCCCGGTTGCCATGGCAACGGAATATAATTTCTCCTTTAAATACTAATTTTAATTCTTATATTTTACGAATTCAGTTGAAATAAAGAAAATGAAGAATAGCAATCAGTCTCAACGGACCGCAGATTATATAAATGTAGTCTACAAATAGAATTATGCAATTAAGTTTATTTTCTCCCAGCATATGAATATGAAGAATTTAATGCTGAAAATTTTATCATATTTTTTTAATTAAATGCGACATGGATTTTATATTCACTTAAAAATAACGTTGTAATAGTTTTTAATGTTTCTGGTTCCGATCATACGAGTTATATTTTAATACATAGTTAAAATGTTTATTAAAGTCTTTGTTATTTTCAAAAATTCCTTAGAAAAGCATATCACAATAAATTGTAATTCGATAAGAATATAGAAATAGTACGACTTAGTTTCTAACTTAAATCCGCTACCTCTTATGTAACGTGAACGCATGTTATAAATATATGTTTAATGTACGTAATTCGTGTGTGTTCGTACCTGCCTGGCGCGAGCAGCACGCTCCCGCCCACATGAGCGGCGGCGGTCACCTGTCGCGCCCGCTCGTCACCCGCGCCGCCCGCTGTCTCCTATAGACCGCCACCGTCTATGAAACAATAATACATAATATATTATATACAGATATATATCATCATCATCATCATCAGCCTATCAGAGCCCACTGCTGAGCCTCCTCTTATATGGAGAAGATTTGAGCATTAATCACCACGCTTGCTCAAGACGGGTTGGCGATTTCAAACTTGAAGCGGGCTATTAAACCCCCACAACCTACCACAGCAGAATCGCCTTGCGGCCCTGTGGCTTAGCAGAAGAGAGGCGCGTGGGAAACCCTTAATGTTTTAGTCGGTAGTGCGTCCTTTTCAGGACGAGAGTCCGACATAACTCTCCTTGTTTATCTCCCCAAGCAAGAGAGTATGCATATTCCGCAACGCAAAAAAAAGGCCACCACAACCTAATTATTTATATATGAACTATTGGATTATTTTAAATCTAATACTTAAAAATATTATGAACAGTTTCAAAGAGTTTTTATTATATGTTAAAGATATTTAGTCACCTAAAGTACGACTTTGAGAAGATAAACAATATTGAATATAGTGAGATCGTTGATAAAATTTAATATCACAATGGAATGTTCTGGATTTTTCAGTATAGTTGTCATGACTATCCAGCCATACCCGTTTAAATTTAATATTAGTTATTTATACTACGGGTTATAACAAGTTTTCGTAACAGGAAGTTTGTAATTATTAATGAGGACTTAGAAATTAAGGATTCAAGTCAATCCCTTCAAGTCTTTCATCTATATGCCTATGTTTTGGATTCAATTTAACCCGTCCTCAAACATTATTTTTAACTACGTACAATATCAAAGAGATTCTTCTTATACTGCATACTTTTAATACTATTACGGGATTCAAAACTTTGAAATATTATTTGAGGTATAGTTTAGTTAATATCTATGTATAAATATCAAGTAATATTAAAGTTTTTTGATTGAGTCAGTGGTGGCCTATTGGTTAAAGGGCCCGCCTCTCATGCACGAGGGCGCGGGTTCGATCCTCACAAGTACTAATGTGATTTTTCCGAGTCATATGTACTTTCTGAGAGTATTTAGACATCACTGATTAATTCGTTCCCAAAGAGGGTTGATGTCAGGCGGCCGGTCGTAAAAACAATAAGCCAAAACTATTCACAACATGCAAGGCAGACCCTGGCTAAAGCTGGGAAATTGCCAGGAAGAAGATTAAAGTTTTTTGATTACGTACAAGTTGTATTCTGTTTTCTTTTTAAAAGCGTGATAAAAATTTCGTTAGTTAAAAATGAGATAAATAGTGATTTGAATCTCGAGTTTTAAAATAGATTGAAATATCAAAGATTCGGTGCTATCAAAATATAAATTATTTAATATTTTTCTTATAGAATACTACTGTATACTTAATAATATTTTTAATGTATTCTATGGCATCATACATTTACAAATTAATTACCATCAAATACATAGATTTAAATTACAAATATATAAAAGTTTGAGTAGGAATTAAATATTATTTTATTATAGAAATTATAATCGATTTGAAAGTTATTTATAACATATATAGCCAGTTAACAAAGATAATTGTTCTGTTTATACTATTAAACTAATGAGTAACCCAGATAAATTAAACGTCCACAATTTGTGTAGTTATTTTGACTAAAGGTTAATAGTCAAACGTTATATATATTTCTATGAAAATATATGAAAAAATATAGCGTACCTTTCAGTAAGACTTTCGATAGTATTCATTTAAGTAAGCTATTAACTAACATACATATATTTTTACGTACTTTAATGCAAGGTAACCGAAACGTGGGGGTTATGTAGTTAAAGTAATGGAAAAGGCGTAGTAAATCCAAAAATATTTGTTATATAAACATATAAGATCCGTTATATAATGAAAAATTCCAATAACTTTTCATATAAGCAAAGAGATGTACATAAAAGGGGTGATTAAAATTCGTTTCAATGTTCAGACCTATTACTATATAGTCATATATATATAACTAACTGTGTATAGCCTGCAGGAATATTGATATGAATCAATTAAATATTCATATAACATATAATATTGTCAGTAAGCAGTGCTCAACACTCATGTTGATGCGTAGTCGATGAGTCGTAAACAGGAAATAATCAATTAGCACAGCTCGTTGTAATTGTTTTGTATGAAGTACATAGCGGTTGCCAAGTGATATATATGAGCACTTATGTATTATCATATATTTATATATATACTTAGAAGAACTTATATTAATTTAAACTATATGAATTTAACTTTATTATCGTGATAAGCATCTGTTTATATAGTTTGTTTATGCTTATTATTGAAGCAATGTTTCAAATTAAAATTCCGTAGAGATAAAAGTTGAAATAACGAAGATTCTTCCAAAAAGAATTGTAAGTCTGGAACATTTATCGATAGCCTTCCTAAGCGGTGTGAGCTTTAATGGAAACTAGTGTAGATATTTGATACGTCCGAACGTTGAGTTTCTGACTTAGTAATTAAATTTGGAAGAATCGACTACTCTTACAATTAATAATGATAAAATACATTCAATATAGGTATAGATTTTTCTAAAGCCCTCAACTCATTTTTAACTTAACGATTAAACTAGCAAAACGTTAAAAAACTATTCATAAGTCAAAAAGTGCTTTACGTATTTTTGTGCCAACTGATACTCTTAAACTGCTCGATCGATATTAAACGAAAGCTAAAAAATCCGCAACAAAACAAAATGGTTTTTATGTAAAAAAATCGCATCAAAATCTATCAATTCGTTTTTGAGTTATGATGCTACAGACAGACACACAGACATACGTTAATCTAAAGGGGAGGTGGCTTTATTAAGGTGAATTTTAAGTACTGAATTTGGAATATATCTCGTATAATTTTAATCTAGCGACGATACATGAGCTCATTTAACTAATGGCCCGACTTTCCATTCGTCCTTCATTGTAGTTCACTTGGATTAAATCCAGTTAAATCTAGGTGAAGGCCACTGTCGAAACTCTTGGAGCTATTGTTCTTGGTGAGGTATTTTTTAGGCAAAATTTCAATCACTATCGTATGAGGTTTTATATAACATCTCAAGATATATGAAGAATTCACCTCGTGTAGCATTTTATTGACGTAGATCTAATCGTGGTATATATAAAATGCTCTTTGAATAACTATTATTTAAGTTTCATTCGTGCTGTGAATTTGATAAAACGTGTTTGTAATTTTATCAATAAAACTAATTCCAGCTCAAAAAACTATAAAGAATGATGAAAATGACGTAATTAAGATGTACCCTAATAAAATAAAAAAAAATACTGTTAGAATTGAAATTTGATTGGATAAAAACGCATCGAAGAGTTCACTTTCAAGCAATTTTCAAAGTAATTCGAAAGAAATTGCTAGAAAGTGGACAACCAATAATGAACTTTATGAATATCATTATTAACTTTCTATGTATAGGCATCATTCTACGTATAAAAAATAACAGGAGTTGCGATGAAAAACGTTTTATTTTTATTTTGGTTTCTCATATACTGGGAGAGAACGAAAAAAGGGTCGACGCACACATATATACAACCTTATGTATGTACACACACACACACACATACACACACATAAACATCTCGGAGTGAGTCCTTATCAGACGATGAATTTAAAAATATACACGGATGACTTTTGTATGATAAATATTAAGATTACTCTACCACGTGTTTATAATATAGCAGATAAATAAAAATATACACCATTTGTATGATAAAAAAGATTACATTGTCATGACTAAGTTTGTATATAAAAGAAAATATTGTTAGTTATATTGTTTATACAACAACGGTTGTACCAATTTGGCTTAAAAAATATTGTCAAGGTAGCTTAGGACCAAGAGACGGTCATAGGATTTTTTTGTCTCTTTTCATCAAAAAAGAAATAACGCAATATACACGATCTCTTTATTTACTGTTTCTAAAGCGGAAATTATTCGCCCGATCACATATTTCTAATTCCGAAATTTATGTCGACAAA